CTGGGATGTTGGCGGACCCGACCGCTCTAGAAGCCTAGGAAGACCGCCGTCTCTACTGCTCCGCGCCCCCCATACAGACCAGGCACCCACGCTTTACCTATGGCAGTTTTATTTAAAAACACTTGTTAACTGCTGTCAGGTGGAACAGTTCAACTACCGGTGAAGGCCAGACTACGTTTAATACAATACCTTAAATAGAATACAAATATAAAATGGAAGAATAAAATATTTACAGAAAGCACGGCGCACACCGAAGCCCGTCCTCAAACCTTTCCTCTAGGAACTAAGACATCACAGTGGATGATCAAAGCGCACAAAGTGTTTTCTTCCAAAGAGAAAATATTTACAGTCAACTCAAACTACTGTTTTTTTTTTTTCCTTTGCCAGCAGCAAATGCCTGAGGGCCCCTACAGCTTCACAAGTCATAGCAGGAAGAGACTAAAGTTCTTCAAAAAAATTTAAGAAAATAATTCAAAATATATCTGCTAGGGAAAACGATCACTGGTGGCAGGGTACACAATCCACCCCACTCTCAGCCGTTTTCTGCAGGGTCACATGTTGGGATTGCATGTGGACACTCGAGGCAGAGCCGTCACCTCCAGCTGCAGCGGTGGGGCAGGATCCCCTGGGAATGCCCAGAAAGGAGAGCGCGGTCGGTCCTGCTGCAGTACCAGGTTCCAAGATCGCCAGCCCAGGCACACGCTCTCCCACGAGTCCGAGCAGCTGCCTTTCCCCAGCAGAAGAAGAGCCGGCAGCTTGGGAGAGTGATGCTTGCAACCAAGAGGCACTTAAACCAATTCTTAGTTTACCAATCTACTGCAGACTGAGAGGAATCCTGACTATCCACACCAGAATCTTATTCACATCAGCGAAAAGCACCACCCCCCCAGGCTTTGGTACAACAAAACAGGAGGGGGTATTCAAGCTGTGCTGCTGAGCTGCTGCCTTTTGCACTGATACTGGGTCGTCCCTGATAATTCAAAGTAAGGCTGGATGGACTGACCCCAGCCACCACCCCTGGCAGCATGTTTGGTCCAAGATACTAATTATGCTGCTCCCTCCCACCCTGACATTTTCATTAAGTTACCCTAAAAAATTAAAAGTCAAAATGATAGCATACATAAATAAAACTCAAGAGTTGACATAGTAACTCCAGGCTTTAGAGATCAACTGTCCAAGAAATCAGAATACCAAAGCTTTGAAACGCGCCGAACGTTGAGTTTCGCCAAGGGAGGAGGAAGGAAGAAGCTTTACGTTTAAGCCTTCAGAGCATCACTGAATCAGTAGACCAGCTCACAACCACCACAGTTTGTAAATGGGCATGTCTCTGTCCCAAAATCAACAAGTGCTTTGTCCTCTTAATGTCGAAGGTAGCCACCAACAGTTACAGAATGGATGCACAGGATCTTGACTCTGACCAGCAGGGAAATTTAGGACAACTGAGTGCAGATATTGCCAATTTCTACCAGTTCAACTGTGCTTTAAAACTCATTGCAAAGCCTCAGCTAGAAAAAGGATCACCTCTGGGTATCCAACAACAAACAGTTTTAATTTATTTTTTTTTTTTTTTAACCTTACGACTATGCAGTTCAGCTGTCAATCATTTCAGAGAGTTCCAGGAGGAGGTCATCCTCATCCTTCCCTGGGTCCAGGTCAATTTCTGCTTCCAGTTTGCCTCCTGAGATTTCCCAAATAAGCTTCTCAAAGTCATCTTCTACAGATAAGGGTGCTTTCCCAGCCCCTGTAGAACTCAGCCGGCGTGACTTTGCTGCTACTTGTGAAGAATCTGAGGTTGAACTTGAGACCTCTGACTGCGCCGCAGAGTCTGCCTGGCTTCCAATATGCAGTTCAGGACTTGGAAGAAAAGAAAGAGAGCAGATCAGTGTACGACATTCCTCAACCAGAGAGACGGTTACCACAAACCAGCTCTTAAAACTGCAGTTAATCCCTCCAACACCTCAACCTTACACAGGGTTTGTTATTCAATTAACCTGGGGCTACTTTTGAGAGACCGATATATTAACAGGTACATTTTTTAGTCTGGGGATTTATCTGTGAAGACAGAGCACCTGGTGGTCTGGCAAAGAAGGTTCAATTTCTGTAGCCAGAGACGCTTTGCCACCTTTACTAGTGTGACTGTAAAAAGGTTAATAAGTCAACCTCTGCAAATACGTATTCGCTAATTTAGTTATTTTCCCCACAACATGCTCAGCAGTCTGCTGATCTTCATCTACCACCTCTCTGTGCTCATCCAACAGTCTTGCCAAGGTTTATGTCTGGTCCTCCAGAATGCCATCACAACAAAAGGCACGGGACACTACTTGTCATTTGCCACTTCATTTGTCATTTGTCAGTTCCTTCATAAGGAACTAAAAGAAAGAGGCCGTTCTCCATCCTGACCCATCTCCAACTTCACCCCATCTTCACCCAGGCATTCAGAAAACCCAAGAAGTCACGGAAAGGCTGTACCAACTTGCAGCGTTTTAAGAAAAGAATCTAAATAAGCATGCCTGCTAGCTGCTAGCAAACGACTTCAAATGAATTGTTCCTTTGTTGAATTTTGGCATTAATTATCTCAAAACTCTCATTTTTCCATGCCAAAAAAACTTACATTTCACCTGAAAGACACATTGACCAAGAAAAAGAACAAGTCGTGGTTGTTACCTGGTTTGGGGGTTTTCTCTCCCAGGTATGGAGACCAGGTTGTCCTCTGGCAAAGCAGGAACAACAGCCTGGGAAGAAGCAAAATGGTTTTTATGATACACAGGAAAAAAATTCTTAGTAGACTCCTCCTCCACTGCTTCTTCTCTGGCATTGCAGAGCCTTTACCAAAATACAGAACTCCTGAAGAAAAGTTAGTATTCACTTGAAGTTTACTAATGACCTTGTGTCTTTTTTTTAAGAACACAGCATTAATGGACAAAATCCTTCACACCACAGAGACATCATAGCAGAGTAGTAAGTAAACGCTGCCATTCAGCTAATAAAAACCAGAAAGGTACTACAACCATCCTGCAGATTGCTTCTGGATTTAAAAGGGAAGAGACCTGTGGAACATTTCAGTTTTCCATCTTTTCTCCAAGAAGAGGGTAAAACTTGGGCATGAATTGTGCTCAGGACCCACTACTTCCTCAGCCACTGTCCTTACCACAGCTGCTTTTTTAGCTGAAGGCTCCTTTGTATCACCACCAGTGGTACTCAATGGTTTCACAGCCGCCACAGCAGAGGGATGACTCTCAGGTGCCTTCCGTTTCAGTGTCTGCTTGGTGGGGGAGGTGGCCTTCCCATCCGAAGGCTTCAGGCACACTTTAGGTTTGGCTAGAGTAAAAGGAAGAGAGAACCGATTGTCTTGTTCTGCCTCAGGAAAAAAAAACACCACAGGTTCTCCTAGCAGTCCCATAATCCTTCTAGTTAAATATATTTGGGCAGCACAATTACACTGCCTTTTCCCAGATTCCCAGCAGTATTCTCCACATAGAAAATTGTTTACCAACAAGCCGTAAAAAGGAGCAAAGTTGTTACAAAAAGGAGCCAGAGTTACAACCTGAAAATTGTCATCTTCTGCCTTTCTTTCAAAAGATGACCTAAAGCAACTCTTAAGCATACAGTCAACACTTACTTTCAGCTTTCTGTTCCAGAAGTTGAGCTGCCTGCTTCCCTGGTGATACAGCAGCATCCTTTCCTGGGCTTTCAACCCCATCTTCTGGAGATTTCACCAATATCCTCTTCGCAAATTGATAAGCTGACCCTGAAACCACAGTGGATTCAGGACTCCCTGATGCTGGAGTTTTATCCTTGATCACTTTTTCAACAGGAGATGGCACAGCAGCTGCTTCCTTCTGAAGCTTCTCTTCATGGCCTCGTTTCAGTGGCCGCTTCTCCCTCATTATTTCTTCAAGGTTCTTCACTTGAACTTTAGAATTAGCTGGACTCTGATCAGAGGGCTAGAAAGAAACAAAAGAAGAGAACTAATAGGACAAAAAACCTATGGAGATTTCATTAAGAAAATCTGAGTGGCAGTCCCTCCAAAATGGCTCCATGTGGAACAGAGCATGTTAATATCATTCAGATCTGACATTTTTTCCGCAAAATGTTGCCTGTAACAAGATCCATGCTTTGCTATGGAAATACTGATTCAAAAGCCTGCAATTCCCAACACAGCAAGCTCCTTTAATAGAGCAGAAAACTCTAAATGTAATCTATTACATTCTTTTTAAGCAACAGAAAGTCATACAAGCTCCCCAGTACAGCATTCACTGACAGCCTGATTTCTTCTAATACAAAGCTCTTGCCTTTTCTATTAAAATACTTACCTCATGATTTTAATATATCCTTCAAGTCTGACAGATAAAGTCACTGGGAACAAAAAAATTCCCTCCACGTTAACCTCACAGATTTTATCTGGTGCTCATAAGGGTTGCTCATTGTCAGGTATAATCGGATTAATTCAAACCTGAGGATTACAATGTTGTCTGGAAATGCTATTGAAAGTGACAGGACTTACACCTTCACTGCGGTGTGTACCAAATGCAGAAAGGTAGGAACACACTCCAACTCGGACCATGCAGCGAGTTACAAAAAAAAGATAACAAAATTTATCGAAAATTGTATGAAGAGAAGTATGTCTTCACTAAAGGACTCACCTCTGCAGGTGCAGAGACAGCTTTGGCAGAAGACTTGTTCAATTCCACTATCTTCTTCTCTTCTCTTCCAGGTGCTTTAAAACAAGAATAAAAAATAATTTGTCAACAGCAGAAATAAAGAAACCTGGTTACCTTTGTTTCCTTGGTGTGTTTATTTCCTCATACCTAGTAATGGGACAGAGGGAAAGGCTACAGTAAGCAATCCATGCAGCACTGGAGCTCCCTTTCCCTCAATCACAGTCTCTTTTTACATGGCTTATATAATATTAATGATGAGATCTTTAATGCTCTGTCATTTTTGACAAAAACTGGCCCTCACATTAAGAAGTTGATACATGCTTCACAAACACATATACATCGATAACTAAGTTAAACAACACATATGCCAAAGAGGAAAGTAATCTTGGATTCAGCACAGGGAAGATCCCATACCACTAACAGATGACAGAAAAAACAGAAGAGAGAAATTAGACTACAAAGCTCCACAATGGATGAATTTTCCAGTGGGAAACACAGAAAACTACCATGTAATTAATGGAAAACAGTAAGCTGCACATTCTGGCAGTACCTTGCCTTTTGACTTCGTGGCCTTAAACTCTTTTATCCTCTAGTATACATAGAAGCAAAAAGCAAAGCAAATCCTGAGCAAACTGAGTTTGCTTGATAGGGGAAGCACTTCACCAATACAGCTACCAAATCATCCATTACCTATCAGCTTTGTGATCCGTAACAACCTCCTCCCTGTCGGGGCAGGTTCAGGTTGTGCTGGTGGAGCTGGCAGATTTTCTCCACTCTGCTGCATCCGCAGAGCTTTCTCCTGCTTGATTTCTTCCAAAGTTTTAATACGCACTTCTGCTGGCTTGGCTTTGCCTGCCGGCTCTGCCAGCTGCACTTTGCCGAGCACAGATGGAGCAAGTATGCTCTGCTTCTTAGGCTCATTCTCAACTTTTTTCTTGGGAGGACACTCTTCTGTGTTTTGCTTCTCTTCTTCCAATCGCTTGTGTTTTTTTCCAGCCAGGACTCCTGAGAAAGTTTTGATGCGAACTGCAGGGGAAGGTCTCGCCCCTGTGCTGGGATTTTCTGTTTTACAACGTCCTTCAGTCTGGGGTTTAGCTGGAGGGTCTCCTCGTCTTTGATTTGCTCTCTCAAGGCGAATTTCCTCCAGTGTTTTCACATGGATCTCTCCTGTCGGCTTAGCAGCCTTCTCTGTCATCATCAAAAAAAAAAGAGAAGCACGAACATTTATGGAGAGTCGAACAATATTTAAAGTCTCCAAAATCTGTCACCAGTACCAAGGAAAACTAGGATTGAGTGTTCCTAGGGATGCATCTTAGGACAGCATCACTCTGCATTATATTATCCTTCTTTAAGCCACTTGTATTTT